GTTTGTTTCTGTCGGGCCTTCTGAAGAGCAAACCAAATGCCCTGCAGAGTTGTCCCCTTCCACCTCTCCCACTTCTAGCCAAAGACAAGAGGCTGAAAAATTTCTCCAACAGCTTCCCATTGTCCTTGGTTAATGATTGCCCCAGGACAAAAATCCCTGCCTCTTCCAGTGTCCTCTTTCCTGAGCCAAATCCCAGGAAAACAGAAGATAGCTACCAGCAAGAGATGAGTCTCTGAACTCTGAGGGATTGTCCACTGTCACAGTGGCTGAAATCAGAGAGGGGCCAAGAGGAAGAGATGCAAAGTACCAAAAGCATCTGTCACAGCTCAGCGTTGAAAGTGGCTACACAAGTTCACTTGGTGTCCTTGTTTTCAGTTCCTATGAACTTGTAAGTGGTAGCCACAGAGTTGAATTCAGACTTCCTGTCTCCAGAGAAGTCAAGTTTTCTTCTTCATTATGCCTCCTGCCAAGAATTCAACCTTCAGCAAATCAACTCATCCACTTTTCAATTGCATCACTATGACTAGGGTTGAAAGATAATATCTGTCACCATCCTCAAGAAGTGTGTAATTCACTGATAGAAACAGACTTATAAAGAGATCGATTTTAATAGCATAGTGAGGACAATGAGAGAGGTACATACACAGGCACAAGGCACTAGAAAAAGGCAGAGATGGCTCCCTGAGCCCAGCCTAGAAAGTGGAACATGAATGCCTGAAGGGGGCATTACAGGTGCATAGAAGAACATGAAAAAGACCATAGTAAAAAGCAAACCACCATGCTGTGTGCTTCTGTTTTTCTCATTTGTTTCTTCCAATTGCTTTTGAATTGACAAATAAAAATTTTATATATTTATGGTGTACAAGATGGTTTAATTTTATGTATACATGGTGGAATGGCTAAATCAAACAAATTAACACATGTATTACCTCATACTCAGTAATTTTCAAGTATACAGTATATTGTTATTAACTATAGTCATGATATACAATAGGTCTCTTGAACTTATTCCTCCTGTCTAACTGAAATGTCCCTTTCAACTTTTGGAACTGATGATAGCTCTTTCTTCATAGTTTTTAGGTGTAATAATTTTTTCATGTTTCATCCCATGAAGACAGGCTATTTCTGTCTTTCTTATTTCTCTACTCCCACTATAAACTTAAGAGACTCTCCATATTTGGTAAATGATTTAAAGAATGAAGGAAGGAGTGATTTTTATAATCTCTTTAAATTCTATAACCTACAAGAATATTAGGAGCATTTCTTATTAGAAAAGACAGATTCATCGACTGGGGGCAAACACGAAACCTAGGAGGTTTCATACTGTATCTCTAAGACACTTAGTATTTATCTTCCCTGAAACCATAGGGAATTGATGTTCCAGAAAAAAAAATCATTTTACATGTGTTCTCATAATCTAAAAAGTACGTTTTGAGCAGTTTATTAGAATTATTTGGATATGTATGAATATTAAGGTTTTATTCATCACAAACAATATGGAAATAAGAGGAAATATGAGAGTCCCTTTGCTTCTCTCTAAGTTAACTAGCCTCTTCTTGAATATGTGCCCATGGTTCCTGGTGCCCACAAGTGTTTTTTGTGAAGGTGGGTGGTTTTGATGCGCTGTTCATGGCATTCGGCGTTAATTGAACCTGACCTTGGCAAGTACTGTCGACAGCAACAGTAGTTTGTCTACATTCCCAATTTAGCAACAGCCATGTGCTTTAAGGTTAGGTATTTTATTTTCACTTATAATTTTGTACACTTTGGTAGCATTCAATTCATACGTCTGAATTATTTTTTCATTTAAATATAAACTAGTATATCAGTTACTTATCCAAAGGAATAATTCTAGGACTATTTTTAAAGCATTTTTGTTGAATTGGTGATAGATTGGTTCAGACACATCTATAGTTATAATTACAGCAGGAAATTGCAAAATACTATATAAGTTCAGGAAAGCAGTCTATTTTCATGGAGCAAATTCCAGCTAGCTGATTTTTCTAGAATAGTCAACTTGAAGATTTCATCCTTTCCACAAAACTAATTGATTATCTACTATGGGTCAAACATTGTGCTACATGTTTATTCCAAATATCAATAGGTTCAAAATTAAATTTGCTATTTATATTACATTGGAAAACATTCTGAAGCTTCAAAACATATGCTAGGTCTATATATATACTAAAATGAAGGACAGCAATCAGCGAGCATGAAAGCATTCTTTTTGTCTTCTACAGCTAACTGAACAAGGAAGGAAGAAAAGAGATGTCTGAGTTTGCTAATATGTTACATATTTATGAGCATCAGAAATGAGGTCTAATAGTTAACAATTTATAAACCAAAGAAAGATTTATCCAGGGAAATTGATTTTTCTATTGGAACACAAATGTATTAATAAAACTTCTGATATAAGTAGAACAGTTTCAAATTTACCAGTATTTTGACACAGTTCCTTTAACCACTCTATTTTTTATTATTTAAATTAAAATGATAAAGAAAAAGGGAAAAGAGATGCAATATTGAGAAAAGTACCATTGGAATAAAGACGTTTGAATAGATTTAATTTAAATGACTTTAAACCATTTTAGAGAATTATTCTAGTCTGATTCATTGATCTAATATTATTATAAATAATTACATTACTTTTACTAAATCCTTTTTATCAACAATGTGAGCAACTTGGTAGCTAGATAAAGAAAAACACAAAAATCAAATCTAAATAATAAATTGCTGTAGTTCAAAGTTGTGATCAGAACCTAGTCATGTCAGTTATATATAATCACAGAGCTTTGAGCTTAGGAAATAAAAATATAGTTATGACATTTTAAAATTGTTATGGAAAATATCCTATTTATCCTATCTCACCAATTTCTCTCTTCTTAGTATTCCCTTATAGCCATTCTTTTCTACTTTGCACTATTTTAAGCTTTTATGTTTTAAGTATAGATGAGCCCTTTTTTATTTACCAAAAAATCTCCATTCTGCCTCAAACACCTCTTTCTCTGTCTCTTTCTCTTGTTCACTTTTACATACACACATACCACACACATAGTCTTCTTATTTTCGGTCCTATAATCAATGAACCGTGAAACATTTGTTCTTTGTCACTTCCCTTTTTCACTTTTTAGAAAAGGAATATTATATCTGTTTCTACGTAAGAAAGGCAGTGGAAATTTGAAGTAAACTTCTAGATGACTATCCACAGTATACATTTTTCTAATATCAAGAAAACCAAACCACATGTCAATTTTATACCCTTAATTACTCACATTTTGCCTTCACTATACTTATCCCAAAGGATATTTGTAAGAAAAAGCAACATTTGTAGACTTTCTTCTCAATGATATTGAACATACCTTTTATTGTGGAGCTACTGGAGAAAAATAGTAGAATTTTCCTGTTGTTGAATCAAAATCAAATTCCATTTCCCAGAGACTGTTTCATATTCGTTCCTAAGATAATGACAGCTCCTCACATCCAAATAACATACAGAAAAAAATATACACGCAATTGCCAGGAAGAACTAAAAAATTTTTTCAAAACCCTTCTGGGTTTTCTCATTTCTATTTAGAAAGCCACCGAAGTGACAAGACTTCAAATAAGGAAATTCCCCACTGATTGTAAGTTGTGTAACTTATACTGGATCAGAGAAACCTGAAGAAGCTAGAATCCCTGGGGATGCACCCTATGAGGTTATCTCTTCTGCAATAGTGACTTTCCTCTCTAGATAGAGAATATTCTTTAGGACTGACAAGCCCTTATGAAAATAACTTGGATTTTAGCTATCAAACAAAAGTGCCATGCAAATCCTCTTCCCTTCTATTCTTTCTATTCCTAGCTTCATAGAATCAACCTATTTCCAATCATTTTTCTCTACAATCTTATAACTCTAACTATAAAAGGGACACCATTGCGTTATTTATTTTGTGCTTATGTAGAAACTTCTATGATATCTAATTATTTACAAGGAAAAGGAACCACTCTTTTAAAATATGCAGAGTGTAAATGTAAAGGACAATGAGAGAGAGTAGAGAGATAGAATATCAAAAAATGCACAGCTGGAATAAAAATATCTTGAAAAGAATGAACCTGTCTACAAGCCCACTTCTGTAGTTATTTAGAGATTACCCCATGAATTGAAAGAGGAAGCTTAGGTGATTCATTACAGTAGGAAAAATAATAATAACACAGAGTTATGCTAACTTTCTTTTAGGTCTCCCACCTTCTACTTCTCAACTACTACTTAAATGTATATCACAGCATCATTAGCCTAGTCTTGTAATTCACAGTGGCCATCTTCCCCTACTCTAGGAGGACTTGATCTATTTAAAATGGGCTTCAGCCTTTCCAAGTTTTACCCCTTTTTACTGAATTCCTTGGTGTTTCCAGTATAGAGACAACAGAGGAAATACAATGGGTTCAAAAGCCAAATACATATTTTCCCAACTGTAACTTCCACGAATCCCACAATCCCCAAAGTATAAAACCCACATTCAACATCTTGTGATTCTTGCAAGTGACTCCCGTCTGGGAATAAGGTGTGGGTAAAGATGAATGAGAAGAACTTAGCAAGAGTCAAGGCTGTAACTTCACATGTTTTAGAGGCAATGCCAATCATTGGTACCTGATCACATATTTGGTATTTAATACACATATTTTTGTTTTTTGTTTTTGGGGTTTTTTATGATTAATTCATTTTGGGGTTTTTTTGTCTTCTTTTATTTAAATAGGTTTTTGGGGAACATAGGGTGTTTGGTTACTTGAATAAGTTCTTTAGTGGTGATTTCTAAGATTTTGGTGCACCCATCACCGAAGCAGGGTACATCGTGCCCAACATGTAGTCATTTATCCCTTGCCATCTCCTACCTTCTCCCCTCAGTCCCCAAAGTCCAATGTATCATTCTCATGCCTTTGCATCCTCATAGTTTAGCTCCCACATATGAGTGAAAACAATGATGTTTGGTCTTCCATTCCTGAGTTACTTTAGTTAGAATAATAGTCTCCAGTTCCATCCAGGCTGCTGCAAATGCCATTATTTCATTCCTTTTCATTGCTGAGTAGTATTCCATGGTATATCATTCGGGCTGGTTCCAAATATTTACAATTGCAAATTGTAATACACATATTTTTGATAGAATAAAGGAGTGAAGAAATGAAAGCACAGTAGCAAAACATCAAATAAAACAGATACCTGGAGGCAGAAATATGGCATCTTGGAGACACATTTCTTTTGGATAGACTGGGATAAAACATTGATGCTGTTGACTTGTCTCAGCTGTAACTCAGTCACATCTGGCCCTCATCTCTCTCGGCAAAATTTTTGCTAAACTTTATTAGCTTTCAACTTTTCTCTTGTTAATGACTTCAAATTTTTCTCATTATTAAATAATTTAGTATAGTGTCTAATCAAAATCTTTCTTTGAATTGTGATAGAGAAATCAAAGCAAAAAAATAAAAGTCATTTGCAAAATCACTGCGGTGACTCAGCTGTTGAAAATAATTCAAACTGGACTTTCAGTATACTAACATATAGCCCCAAATAGTATCAAAATTATTATTTGACCACCAGAAGAGGCCTACTAAGTATCCCTATCCATAATAGAATTTAAGTCATTTCTTAACCAGAAAATACACAAAACAAATCTATGTACTGTGATTGAGCTGTACACTAAGTAGGAATAAGGGAAATTTAGTCATTTTGTTCAAATCTATGAAAAATTGCTTCCTTTTTGTGTGGATCTGTTCCAAAAAGTGTTTTGTTTGACTTTACCGAATCTACCATTTGTTTGAGATTTAGCCTGAATATTTTCAAATGAAAAACATGAAAGTTTAAGAAAGCTTTGCTCAATACCACACAAAGCAAAATATTTCTTCAACACAGAATTTACTACCCAAGCACTTTTTTCTAGTTAACTGCACAAATCAAATTTACTGGATTTTAATGAAAGTAATTAAATTGAGAAATAACAACATTCTTCAAATTGTGGCTCATAAAGTGTTTGCTAAATATCCCGTTTAATACTTCCATTGAAAATTTCCTATTCATTTCTTAACCAGAGTTATGGAGAAACATATTAAATTATATTAAGTTCAAATGGCAAGTAATTAACCAAAAAAAAGAAAAAAACATTTGTTTAGTATGTCTGTTTTATATGATCCTCAATATTTAATCACTTAAGTCTCACTTCTAATTATGTCTATTAATATTATTAAACAAACTTTAGCCTGACAATATAAATTCCCAAATAAGTATTAGACCACTGTAGGGTATAATAGTATTTCTAATCTGATGTTTACCTATCTTTTGTTTTTCACTTACAACACTGACATTTTTTCAAAGTGGACACAGTAGTTAATTGTGAAGTACTTGAGTTTCACACAAGAAATATAAATGTGGGTGCTGACCTCAAAGCACATAGAAGCTAGGGATGATAGGGTTTTCACAGAGTTTAAGGCAGATCCTAATCTGAAATGGTACCACCTAAAAATAATTTTTTTGAAGGGTAGAAGTCTTTGTTGACTGAAAAATCGTCAAGCTCAAAAAAAGGGTGAAAGTCAAGCTTATCTACTGAAGACAATGAGACAATGACAGGAATTCTAGGGGTCCCATATTTGGAGATACAGAGGTTGAGTACAAGTTAAAAGTTCAGAACACAGATGTAGATGTGACGCTTTTCATCATCAAGAGCATGGTAAAAACTCTAAGTCTATAAATATCTGTGAAGGTATTGGTGTGAAAAGGAGAAGAGAAAGCTAAGGACTAATCCTTGAGAAACTCCAATGACTGCGGTGTGGGAGGGAAAAGTGGGACTCGTGAAGAAAAGATTGAGGATGTTGTGGTGACACATAACAGAAGAGTAGGAAGTTTTTCAAAGACGAGGTTCTCAAGAAAATCACATGCAGCTGAATGATCCAAGAGGTGGAAGATTTTAAAAGGCCATTTATTTTCACTAGCAATATGTCACCAATGAGCCATTTCAGGAGTCTATGTTCCAGTAGGCTAAGATTTAATTTCAAAGTTTACAAATAAAACGAAATGAAAAAACTGAGAGCAAGTGTAGACTACTCATTGTAAGAGTTGATCATGAAAAGAAAAAATAAACTCTAAGTTTATTAAATAGGCGTCAATATCCAAAGAAAAACGTTGATTTGTTTAAGGCAAGTGATCCCTGGGCATGACTGGTAACAAGAAAGAATTTAAAAAGGAAAGACTGAGGACCCTAAGAAGAGTGGAGTGTGGCAAGGTGTGGGAGCAATGTCTGAAAAGCAGCAATCAAGGATGTGTCCCAAAGCAGAGAAGAAAGGTTGACTTTAAAAATTAGAATAAAAATAATACTGGTTAACATTTATTGAGCAGTGATTATTTGCAAAGAACTGTTTAAAGGCTGAATGTACATTATCTCCTTAAATACTTATGAAAACCTTACAAGGCAGATATCATCATTCCCACTTCACTTACAAAGAAATTGGAACTAAAATAAATTAATTTCCCATGATCCCCTAGAAAGTGTGAGGTGATGTCCAAACACAGACCTATCTGACTCAAGCTCATGCACTGAAAATTTCTCTTTCTGATTCACTGCTCAGTGTCACAAGAACACAATTCTAACTTGGTTTGAGTGGTAGAAGTTATGTTCTTAAAGCTGATATACAAACACATAATTTGAACACCCACAGCATCTGATACTGAAAATACACATTATTCATCCAATGTTTGCTGTACAGTTTATGCTCAGAGGAGGCTCTGAAAGTGGAAAGGAGTAAATTCTTACTCCTATGGCAATTCCTTCTAATCGAGAAATCCCTTGATTTCCTTGGGTGGGGTACACAAACAGAGAAAGACATTAAATAGGGTTTATTTTTGTAATTTTATTTCAAGGTGAAAAAAAATCTATTCTACCATACCACCTCTTTTGTGAATATTGCAGTGGTGTACAAACCCTGAATTTACACCTCTCTCCTGAGCCAACCCTAACCACACTAAGCCCTATCACCATCAGGAGCTTGAGGAACAAAAGTTATTAAACTGAAGAGAAATGTTAAGTCAATCGTCATTCTGTTGCTAAATCCAGATTATTTTCAGACTTTTTCACTTCTCTGTCGAATGTGAAGCTGCTCCTCATCCCTTCTGGTCGTTCTCACCTCCCTTTGTTTTATTGACTGTAATCATTCCTGGATTCCTTTCTATCTACATGGTTTATTCTATTCTATACTTTTCACAGGCTCCTTTTCCCCCACCCACCCTCTAAATGTTGGAGCTTCTCTACTCATCCTCTCCTTTCTCTTTCTTCACAATGTCCCTAAAAGGTCTCTTCCTCTCTACTGACTTGAACTACCACCTCTATGCTGATGAGTTCCAGAAGCATATCTTTAGCTTGGACCTCTCTGCAGAACTCCAGATCCATATGTACAATTCTAAACCTCCCTCTCTGGGTGTCCTGTAGAGGTACCCCATCATTTTCACAATAAACTGTTCCTCCTGTATAGCCACTCGTTTGATCAAACACTCAGGCAAGACAGAAAATGAGTAATCATCTTTAAGAATGTTTTCTTCTTTATTCGTCTCCTCTTCACATTCAATTCAACCAGTAAATTCAGAAAATTCTGTTTCCAAGTATTCCTCAAATCTTCTCTTCTTCTTCATCCTAATGATCACTGTCTTATTTCAGGAGTCGTCTTTTCTTGCATGGACCAGTTTTTAACAGAAAACTCTGGTGTGCCTGCCTCCAGTCTTGGTCACTTCCAAATATGATCTGCACACAGTCTCCAAATTGATATTTCTAAAATTCAGATTTAATCATATTACTCTTATTCATAAAATCATCAACATCTTCCCATTGATTTAGAGAAAAATCCAATCTGTTAAGGGTGCTGCAAATGATGTCAGATAAGGCTCCTACGCTTTACTCTCATCCTCAATCACTCCCCTATTTTCATTCTGGGTCCCAACTTTACAAAAATGATGTGTTGTTTGCAGCATGTGCACACTCCCTGCCTGGTGCCCGAAATATGGCTTCTTTCCATTACCGTGGTGGGTTGCCTGTTACTCCCTCACCACAGTTACCTTCTCCAGAATGCCATGTCTCATCCTGTCAACCCAGCTTAGTTGCCTTCTCTATAGCCTCTTAGAGTCTATACTATCTTTCATCGTAACCTGCTTGGTTGATTACTAACAGGTTTACCGGTATCATTAGAATTTCAGTCTCTTAAAGGTAAATAATTGTATCTGGAAGTAGTAGAGTATATTAATTAAGAGAAGCAGATTTGGAACAAAATGAACTCGGATTTGACTCCTGAAACATCTACTTAACCTAATAATTGTGTATGTGCAGAGGGGGCCAGGCAGATTCATGTCTCTGAACTCTAGCCTCTATCTAAAAAATATACCCAATCACACCTTCTTTTGAGTGGTTTTTTTTTTAGGATTAAAATGAAATAGTACATAGTAAGGCCTTGACATAGTACTTGAAGCATGTTAAAATGATATTGTCTTATCCCATTTTGCCCAACATGTAGTCAACTAGCCATCACAGGTATTTAGAAGGTATATATACACGTGTTACCAGTGCCCTAATGAAGTCATATGCAATGGGGAGCAAATAGAACAAATGGAGTCTTCCGAATCCTAATGCACTTTACTCATTCTAGAAGGAATAAATGAGAGACTATGCAAAATCTCAAGCTCAGCATATTTTGTTGAAGGTTGGTGCTTCCATTTTTATGGTGATTGGAAAGGGACTGAGCTAGAAAGGAACTGAGCTAGAAAGGAGCTCAGTTCCTCTCCAATCACCATAAAAATTTACATTCCATAGTATGCAATATCTTACTTGTCAGGAAAAAGAAACATAATCCTTCAAATGCAATCTTTGCTCACAATTATGAGATACTGTCCTTATGGGTCTAAATCAGAAATACCATCTTCTTACAGACTCTTGATGTGATCTGTGCTCATCCTTAATCCTTGGTAAAGTTCCAAAATGGCTCTGGATCCTACTGACATCTGTTAGAAAGGATAATGCATGAAGGAGATGAAGATATCTGTTCTTAATAAACAGAGAAAACATTACTAAAGAAAATGTAGATCAATTCCAGATATCCTTATCCATAGATAAGGAAATGCAAGATATTACAGACCTATGAAAATCCTCTTGCTGTTCAGACATAAAGATTAATCTTTTTATTTCAGATCTTTACCACTTAAGTTTAGCCCAGTATTTTTTAAGGCCAATGAAACAGTTGGTGAAAAAGAATAAATGCATTTGTGATCTCCAGTGTGTTCTCTCCGTTCTAGCGCAAAAAAAAAAAAAAAAAAAAAAAAAGCCAAAAACATTTGTTCATACAGCTACAAGTCTGAGGCTTTTCATAGGAAATAAGATTTGAGGTCTAGACTAATTGATTTTATAGCTTCATAACTAAATTTCACAATGTAGCCACAGGTCCATACACAGCAGAAGCTTAATCTTTTCCAAAAATAAAAGGAAAAATCCATGTGAATCACTTCTAAATGCCTCTGTATTGCAAATGAATGATGTTTGGGTATACATTTATACTACTTGTCTAAGATAAGACCTATTTAACAAGACATAGTTTATACCTCATTAAAGCAACATCTACTTTTGCTTGGTTACTGGTCTTTCACAGCCAGTCCAATTGGCCAATATAAAATATACTTCCATTCTGAAACCTGAGTTTCACAAGAGAAAGAACATTTTTCTTTTTAAGTAGATGTATTTTGTTATCTTTAGAGTTTATATTATATACATGACATTACGCCCATTTAATTATTGTGCTGGTCAGGGTTTATTCAGTGACGAAAACAGTTTTCCCAAATAAGGGCAAATAAAAATATTTTTACTGGAAGACTATAAAGGACAACTTCATAGATATTCACAAGTGAAAAATAAAATACACCCAGACCTCTTATAAATATATTGGGAACTGAAAAATCAGAAACTGAGATCATCTCTCTGAATTTGCATTATTTCTCATCTGTTTCTCACTAGTACACTTTACCTCCTGATTTCTGGTCCAATCCATTGAACCCACTGTTTTCACTCAATGTGAGTAAATGTCATATAAAAGTTTGCAAGAAGCTGCTGCTTCAGGCCATTTTCTCTAAAAGAGAGTTATAAGTACACAGGTCATTGAAGTTTCATGAACTTCTTTATCCTTTTTGATCAAGTAGCAGATTACCTCCAACTAGTCCATAGCTTCCCCATGGAAGATAGATAAACATATAGAAATGGGGAAGAAAGAAGAACCAACACACTTGTCAGCAAATTCAACCAAAGTCAGCCTCTTTTCAATGGGCTGATGGGAAATAAAGAAAATGTTGTTTCATGGCCCCAAATGGCCAAATACCAACATTTTCTGTGGTCCAGCTAAATTAAAATGGTATAATCAAACAAGTTATTCTGATTATTACCAATAGAGACACTAAAATTTTGTCTGTGCATTAAACCATTTTGCTTTTCACATCTTCTCAATGTATTTATTTTGTAGCATATCTGGAACAATCCTTTTATTTATTAATGAAGATTTTCTCAATTGCCAAAGTCTATATTTTTCTTCCACTTAATCAAAAATATCCAGAGTTCCTGGTTATGGGTCCATCAGAGATTATTTTCTCTTAATCACATTTCATTCTAAAAAACTAGTCAGTTCATTTTTCTAAAAAACAAAAACAAAAAAAAAGCATGTTCAGAAACAAATGCAATCACTGAAAGCCCAACTTTCCAGTACAATTTAATAACAAAAAAAGGAGGGGGTGGAGTAGGAGAGTCACATGGTTCCTGTTATCCACCCCCAAGCTTAAGAAACAGGGAGGTCTAAAATGTAGTGTGGAGTAAAAACAGCATGACCTGCTTTCAGTTCCAAGTTCTTCCTTCTACTAGCTGTACAGTCCTGGGCATGTTGATGAATCAAATCAACCTCTCCGGCTGCACATGGAAATTGAGGAATTAAAATACTTCCGAGGTAGTGTTGATATGAAGCATTAGTTGAGACAATGCCTTCATTTGTTGAGCTTCTGTTATGTGCCAGCACTTTACTACAACAGAGATGCAATAGTGAAGGAAAAGAGAAACACAAGCCCTTTAAGACTTCTTCGCATTTCTGATCTGGCAGGTGGACACAGACAATAATCAAAGGATTATATGAGTAAATCCCAATTATGGTAAATTCTCTGAAAGAGAATAGTGTCTTGAGAATGAGGGGTGGGAGGGAGAGGGGCAAGTAAAGAGAACAGATTGTATGGCCAGAAAGCATATGATTGGACCAAGGAGATGACAAAACACCTGTATAGCTAAATGAAGAGAAGCCAGATGTGAAATGGGTGTGTAGAAATTAGGGTCCAGAAATTAAAACTTTACCTTAGATTCTCTGGAACAATAATTTTTGAACTTTACTCAATAAAATGACAAACCATTGAATATTTTTAAAGAATAATGATATGATGAGGCTTGAAATTCAAAATGCCAGCCTTGCTACAGTACAGATAAGAAATTAGAAAAGGGTCAAAAGGATGCAGGAAGCTAATCTATTGATCCAGGTGAGGGACATGGCAGCCTTGAATTATGTACTGGAAAACTGATGTCTTACTCTCTAGATTTCTCCTCTCTGAGCAGGCCATCTGAAAGAAAGGCAGCAGCCCCAGTCAGAGGCTAATAGATAAAACTTCCATCTCCTTGGGACAGAGCACCTGGGGGAAGGGGCAGCTATGGGTACAGCCTCAGCAGACTTAAACGTTTCTGCCTGCCAGTTCCAAAGAGAGCAGCGGATCTCCCAGCACAGCACTCAAGCTCTGCTAAGGGACAGACTGCCTCCTCAAGTGGGTCCCTGATTCCCGTGCCTCCTGACTGGGAGACACCTCCCAGCAAGGGTCGACAGACATCTCGTACAGGAGAGCTCTGGCTGGCATCCAGCAGGTGACCCTCTGGGAAGAAGCTTCCAAAGGAAGGAACAGGCAGCAATCTAGGCTGTTTTGCAGCCTCTGCTAGAGATACCCAGGCAAACAGGGTCTGGAATGGTAAACTCCAGCAGACCTGCAGCAGAGGGGCCTGACTGTTAGAAGGAAAACTAACAAACAGAAAGGAATAGCATCAACATCACCAAAAAAGATGTCCACACAAAAACCCCAGCTGAAGGTCACCAACATCAAAGAACAAAGATAGATGAATCCATGAAAATGAGGAAAAACCAGCACAAAAAGGCTGAAAATTCCAAAAACCAGGACACCTCTTTTCCTCCAAAGGATCACAACTCTTCGCCAGCAAGGGGAAAAAACTGGACGGAGAATGAGTTTGATGAATTGACAGAAGTAGGCTCAGAAGGTAGGTAATAACAAACAGCACTGAGCTAAAGGAGCATGCTCTAACCCAATGCAAGGAAGCTAAGAACCTTGAAAAAAGGTTAGAGGAATAGCTCACTAGAATAACCCGTTTAGAGACGAACACAAATGACCTGATGGAGCTGAAAAACACAGCACGAGAACTTCGTGAAGCATACACAAGTATCAACACCTGAATCAATCAAGCAGAAGAAAGGATATCAAAGATTGAAGATCAACTTAATGAAATAAAGTGTGAAGACAAGATTAGAGAAAAAAGAATGAAAAGCAACGAACAAAGCCTCCAAGAAATATGGGACTATGTGAAAAGACCAAACCTGTGTTTGATTGGTGTACCTGAAAGTGACAGGGAGAATGGAACCAAGTTGGAAAGCACTCTTCAGGATCCAGGAGAACTTCCCCAACCTAGCAAGACAGGCCAACATTCAAATTCAGGAAATAAAGAGAACACCACAAAGATATGCATCGAAAGAGCACCCCAAGACACAAAATCGTCAGATTCACCAAGGTTGAAATAAAGGAAAAAATGTTAAGGGCAGCCAGAGAGAAAGATCGGGTTACACACAAAGGGAAGCCCATCAGACTAACAGTGAATCTCTTGGCAGAAACCCTACAAGCCAGAAGAGAGTAGGGACCAATAGTCAACATTCTTAAAGAAAAGAATTTTTAACCCAGAATAGCATATCCAGCCAAACTAAGCTTCATAAGCGAAGGAGAAATAAAAGTATTTACACACAAGCAAATGCTCAGAGATTTTATCACCACCAGGCCTGCCTTACAATAGCTCTTGAAAAAAGCACTAAATATGGAAAGGAAAAACCAGTACCGGCCACTGTAAAAACCTACCAAATTGTAAAAACCATCGACACTATAAAGAAACTGCATCAACTAATGGGCAAAATAACGAGCTAGCATCATAATGACAGGATCAAATTCACACATGACAATATTAACCTTAAATGTAAACGGGCAGAATGCTCCAATTAAAAGACACAGTTTTGCAAATCTGATACAGAGTCAAGCCCATCAGTGTGCTGTATTCAGGAGACCCATCTCACACGCAAAGACACACATAGGCTCAAAATAAAGAGAGGGAGGAATATTTACCAAGCAAATGGAAAGCAAAAAAAAAAAAGGCAGGGGTTACTATCCTAGTCTCTAATGAAACAGACTTTAAACCAACAAAGATCAAAAAAGACCAAAAAAAGGGCATTACATAATGGTAAAAGGATCAATGCAATAAGAAGAGCTAACTATCCTAAATATATAGACACCGAATACAGGAGTACCCAGATTCATAAAGCAAGTTCTTAGAGATCTATAAAGAGACCTAGACTCCCACACAATAATACTGGAAGACTTTAACACCCCACTGTCAACATCAGACAGATCAACGAGACAGAAAATAGCAAGGATATCCAGGACTTGAACTCAGCTCTGAACCAAGTGGACCTAATAGACGTCTATAGAACTCTCCACCCCAAAGCAACAGAATATACATTCTTCTCAGCACCACATAGCACTTATTCTAAAATTGACCACATAATTGGAAGTAAAACACTCCTCAGCAAATGCAAAGGAACAGAAATCATAACAAACACTCTCTCAGACCACAGTGCAATCAAATTAGAACTCAGGATAAAGAAACTCACTCAAAACTGCACAATGACATGGAAACTGAACAACCTGCTCCTGAATGACTACGGGGTAAATAACAAAATTAAGGCAGAAATAAATAAGTTCTTTGAAACCAATGAGAACAAAGACAGAATGTACCAGAATCTCTGGGACACAGCTAAAGCAGAGTTTAGATGGAAATTTATAGCACTAAATGCCCACAGAAGAAAGTGGGAAAGATCTAAAATCGACACCCTAACCTCACAATTAAAAGAACTAGAGAAGCAAGAGCAAACCAATTTAAAATCTAGGAGAAGACAATAAATAACTAAGATCAGAGCAGAACTGAAGGAGATAGTGATATGAAAAACCCTTCAAAAAATCAACAAATCCAGGAGTTAGTTTTTTGAAGATTAAGAAAATAGATAGACCTCTAGCCAGACTAATAAAGACAAAAAGAGGAACAATCAAATGGACATAATAAAAAATAATAAAGGGAAGATCACCATTGATCCCACAGAAATACAAACTAACATCAGAGAATACTATAAACACCCCTATGCAAATAAACTAGAAAATCTAGAAGAAATGTATAAATTCCTGGACACATACACCCTCCCAAAACTAAACCAGGAAGAAGTCAAATCCCCGAATAGACCAATAACAAGTTCTGAAATTTAGGCAGTGATTAATAGCCTACCAACCAAAAAAGGCCCAGGACCAGATGGATTCATAGCCAAATTCTGCCAGAGGTACAAAGAGGAGCTGGTACCATTCCTTCTAAAACTATTCCAAACAATAGAAAAAGAGCAACTCCTCCCTAACTTATTTTATGAGGCCAGCATCGTCCTGATACCAAAACCTGGCAGAGACACAACAAAAAAGGAAAATTTCAGGCCAGTATTCCTGATGAACATCGATGTAATCCTCAATAAAATACTGCAAACCGAATCCAGCAGCACATCAAAAAGCTTATTCACCATGATCAAGTCGGCTTTATCCCTGGGATGCAAGGCTAGTTCAACATATGCAAATCAATAAATGTAATCCATTATATAAACAGAACCAATGACAAAAGCCACATGATTATCTCAATAGATGCAGAAAAGGCCTTCGATAAAATTCAACACCCCTTCATGATAAAACTCTCAGTAAACTAGGTATTGACAAAACATACCTCAAAATAATAAGAGTTATTTATGACAAACCCACAGACAATATCATACTGAATGGACAAAAGCTGAAGGCATTCCCTTTGAAAACCAGCATAAGACAAGGATGTCCTCTCACCACTCTTATTCAACATACTACTGGAAGTTCTGGCTAGGGCAATCAGGCAAGAGAAAGAAATAAAGGGCATTCAAATAGGAAAAGAGGAAGTCAGATTGTCTCTGTTTGCAGATGACATGATTGTATATTTAGAAAACCCCATCATTTCAGTCCTAAATCTCCTTAAGCTAATAAGCAACTTCAGCAAAGTCTCAGAATACAAAATTAACGTCCAAAAATCACAAGCATTCCTATACACCAATAATAGACAAACAGGCAGCCAAGTCATGAGTGAACTCCCATTCACAATTGCTACAAAGAGAATAAAATACCTAGTAATACAACTTAAAAGAGATGTGAAGGACCTATTCAAGGAGAACTACAAACCACTGCTCAAGAAAATAAGAGAGGACACAAACAAATGGAAAAACAGTCCATATTCATGGATAGGAAGAATCCATATTGTAAAAATGGCCATATTGCCCAAAGTAATTTATAGATTCAATGCCATCCCCATCAAACTACCATTGACTTTGCTCACAGAATTAGAAAAAACCTTTAAATATCATATGGAACCAAGAAAGAGGTGGTATAGCCAAGACAATCCTAAGCAAAATGAACAAAGCTGGAGGCATCATGCTACCTGACTTCAAACTATACTACAAGGTTACAGTAACCAAAACAACATGGTACTGTACCAAAACAGATATTTAGACCAACAAAACAGAACAAAGGCCTCAGAAATAATGCCACACATCTACAACCATCTGATCTTTGACAAATCTGACAAAACAAGCAATGGCGAAATGATTCCCTATTTAATAAATGCTGTTGGGAAAACTGGCTAGACATATGCAGAAAAGTAAAACTGAACCCCTTACTTAAAACGTATACAAAAATTAACTCAAGATGGATTAAGGATTTAAACATAAGCCCTAAAACCATAAAAACCCTAGAAGAAAACCTAGGCAATACCATTCAGGACATAGGCACAGGCAAAGACTTCAAGACTAAAATACCAAAAGCAAAGGCAACAAAAGCCAAAATTGATAAATGGGATCTAATTAAACTAAACAGCTTCTGCACAGCAAAAGAAACTATCATCAGAGTGAACAGACAACCTGCAGAATGGGAGAGAATTTTTCAATCTATCCATCTGACAAAGGACTAATACCCAGAATCTACAAGGAACTTAAGCAAATTTGCAAGAAAAAAACAAACAACCCCATCAAAAATTGGGCAAAGAATATGAACAGACACTTCTCAAAAGAAGACATTTATGTGGCCAACAAATATATGAAAAAAAGCTCACCATCACTGGTCATTAGAGAAATGCAAATCAAAACCACAATGAGATACTATCTCATGCCAGTTAGAATGGTGATAATTAAAAAGTCAGGAAACAACAGATGCTGGAAAGGATGTGGAGAAATAGGAATGCTTTCACACTGTTGGTGGGAGTATAAATTAGTTCAACCATTGTGGAAGACAGTGTGGTGATTCGTTGGGGATCTAGAACCAGAAATACCATTTG